GGGTTCTGTGCTCCTGTGAGAGTTAGATCTGAATTCATCTGCTTTGTATTATCCAGTGTTTCTTTTCCTTTAGAAGGCACTTTATGTCGGAATTTCCCTCTTTCCAATTTTATCTTGATCTGTAATGAAGAGCAGTGAAGCCCACTGCATATCTAGCTGCTCTGATTTTACAGTGTTTGAACAGCAGGTATATCTCAAAAAAGAAACACCCCAAACCCAAATCCAAACAATCAGAAATGCAAGGCAAAATCACAGCCTTGCAGGACACTGTAAAGCATACAATGGAAACTTGAATTAGAATGAATGTATCAAAAATAACTTTTGCACAGCTCCATGGCAAGCCAAGCCAAGGTGATCACTGTGCTGATCCCAGCTAGATGGCACAGGGCAGGAGAGTCACCATTGCCACTGGTGTTAGCCAAGCTATGGATTGAGGTCTCCAGGGCTGGCAGAGCCTTGGAAGAGCCTGAGGAGCCTGGGAGTGTTCCTGGTCTCCCCTGCCACACTGGGCCCACCTGAAACAGCAGCTCCAACAAAGAGAGGGGGTTGGAATCCATGCCAAAATAAATGCCAAAAAACCCTGTACAAAGACAGGCCCTGCCTTCACCTCCACCTTTCCTGTTGGAAAAGCAGTTTTGGGATGGTGTCCTGGGTGCTGTAGGGAATGTGCAGTGTGTGTGAGCAGAGGAGAGGCAGTGTGAGCTGGACAGCTCCTGCTTAGCAGTCTGCTCACATCCTTCTCCCACGAAGAATATTCAGCTTTCTTTGTCTAAAATGTTGAGTGGTTGTGAATAGTAAGGATAGACTATCTGTAATTATTTTTAAATTATTAATGGTTTTGTTAGATCCCTTCACTTCTACATTAGGTTTCTGTTAATGTAAGTTAAATCAAAATGTACTTCAGTTTCCAGGCAGCTCCCAAATGTATTTTTCATTCTTTCATAACATTACTTCAAGTTCTCGATGAGGTGTCCATGATAAAGTTTGCTCCCGAGCCAGCAGACTTCCAGTGCTAATGAATTCAGCGAAAGGCTCCCCAGGCAGGGCTCTCATCAGCTGGGCTGGGTGGCAAGGAGGAGGCCATGGCTCCATCACCAATGTCCCACCCCCAGCTTCCAGGTGTCATACCCCATCCGTGAGAGGGAGCATGGGATCCACGGCGGGATCACCAAATGCGGGGGGGGAAATTTGTATCGGAATAACTGAGTTACTCTATTGGCACTTTCCATCATGCTTGGGAGCTTCTTACGCCAGGCACTCCTGGTCAGAAAATATCCGCGGAGCGCCTGGCTCAGGGCTCAGACCCTGCAGGCAGGGAGGAGAAGTTCCCGCTTGCCACCCTGCCCCAGGAGATGCTCTCGGATGGGGGAAAAGAGAGGGGCACGAATGCGGATTTCTCTTCCCTCCTCTCCCCTCAGCCGGGGTCCGGGGGTCCGCATCCCCGCCCGGCCGGCGCCCCGCTCCTGCCGAGGGGGCAGCGCTGGGGAGGGGAGCGTGCGGAGTCAAACGCGTGCATTCAACACAAACGCCACGAAAAAATGCCTGGATAAATTATGCAGAGGGATTTCTGGATTTCTTTCAAGTAATTAAGTTTCGATTTCTTGCATTTATTTTAGTGCCAGGAAGCACGAGGCGCCACGGACGGCAAAACTCTTCATTGATCGTTCCGGGCTCGAAGTTTGACTTCGTGACTTGACTCGGCTCGCGGCGGCGGCGCGGCCGCAGATTTGGGAGCGGGGGAGGAGATTTGGGAGCGGGGGAGGAAATTTGGGAGCGGGGGAGCAGGGGCCGGTGCGGACGGCGATGCCGGGCCGGAGGCACCGAGGGGCCCGGGGATGCCGAGGCACCGCCGGCGGGGATGCGCGGATGCCCCAACGGGGCGTCCCGGGCCGGAGCATCTGTCCGCACCCGCGGAGCCTCCGCGGCGGAGGGGCCGGGTCGCTCCCGGTGCCTGGAGCCCCGGGGGAGCGTCCGGAGGCGGCAAGGCCCGGGAGCGGAGTGAGGCACCGGGCGGCAGGGCTGGGACCGGCGCTGCCCTGCCCTCAAAACAAAGGTAGAGTTTGCTCAAAGTGTAGCCCGCATCTTAATGGATTAAAAATTCATAGGGCGCATTAGGTTCGGTAAAATATGAATGCGCGTCTTTAAATTTTAATCGTAAATCAGAACATGGATACATGAGAGGCGACAGTGATTTCTCCCCAGATGTCTGCGTGGGTCAGGGTGTGGGCGTGGGTAACTTGGAGGGGGGGCTCTCCTTTTATTTAGGCAGCCCAGCGGCGCGCAGAGCCGGCTGCGGGGCCGCCGAGGTGCCGGGGGCGGCGGAGCCTCCGCGGCCGCTGCCTCCCCGCGACTGCGGGCGGGGGGGTGCGGCTGAGGAGCGCGGGGCCTCCACGAAAAAACCCGACACCCAAACAAATAAACAAAAAATCACCAAGAAAAGGGGGGAAACGGGAAGGTGCTGTGCGGCGGTGCCGCGGGCAAGGCGCTGCCGGCAGCGGGCAGAGCGGCAGCGCGGGGCCGGAGCCGCGGCGGGTCCCTGCAGCGCGGAGAGCACCACGGGCACCCCCGGGGTCACCCCCGGGCCCGGCACCGAGGAAAGTTGCCCCAGCTCTGCGGCCGCTCCGCGTCCCGGCGGCGGCCGATGGGAGCGGCGATGAGCGCTCGGCGTTTTGGAGATCGGTTGTCAGTTGCTATTAAAATCAAGATTAATTCATATTAACGATATGCGTTCTCAATTCTCCCGTGTGACAGCATACATTAGAACAACTATTGCGAGTAATTAAACTCAGTGCGGGAGGGGTTAAATGTATAGCGGGAGGGGGGGGGTTCCTCCTCGCATTTCTCTCCGCCAAAGTTGAGCTCGGAGAGCCGGGCGGGCACAGCCCCTTCCCCGGCTCCGCGCACCCGGCAGGCTGGCTGCCCTCGGACCTCCCCGTGCCAACGAGGTATTCTCTTCTTCTTCTTCTTCCTTCCCTTCCTTCTCTTTTTTTTTTTTTTTTCCCTCTTCCCCGGGAAGCGGCGGCAGCTTTCCCTGGTTCTCCCGCTCCCCTCCCGGCACGCCCGCGCCGAGGCGCGCAGCGCTGCGGCCGCTGCCGGGAGGCGGAGGCGGGGGCGCAGGAGCGGCCGAGCGCTGCGGGGACCCGGTGGAGGGAGGGGGGGACAGCGGGACAGCGGCCTCCCTGCCAGCCCCGCCAGCCCTGCCCGCCACGGGCGGGCCGCACCCCGCGTGGGCTCGGCCCGCGACCGCCTCAAAACGCGCAAAATGTTATTATTGATGGCTCTTTCTCGGGCGTTGGAGATGTTCGATGCTTTAGACTAATTAGACAAGCCAAAAGCCTTTTGAAGATTAAGCAAATTGGACAACCCTTGTTAATTAGAACATAATTTAAAGTTTGAAATTATATCACTCATGAAGTAGCCTAATTAGTATGACGATATGTTAATAGCCTACCGAGACACGAAGCGCGGAGGTTTGGCATGAACTCCTTAAAGGCTTGCAAGAAAATCCTCTTTCCTATGTTGTCATTAATAAAAGATTTCTATAGACTTCAGCCTTTCAACGGTGACATACAATTTATAGTACACACAATGCATTAGCCCATAGTGCTGCTCAATTTTTTTACTATTATGAAAACTAATAAATTCGTCAAGCTGAATTAAGCATACAAATCAGATGAGGCATAACAGATTACATATTGAAGCGCCGTGTCTCCCGAGCCTAAATGAAATTTCAATCTAATAATTCCTTCCTGGCCCGGCCATAATTTGTTTAGAGATGTTGTTCTACTTCTTTCCAAGCGCTATTCACACCATAATTAAATGATACTCAAGCTTTTAACTTTGATTTATTTCATTTCTCCGAGCTGGCGACAGTGAGAGCTGATACAATGTAATTTTTTTTTATTTCCCTTAAAATTACCAAGTCTGCTGTTTAGGTGAGAAATTAAACACCTAAGCACTTATTTTAACCTTTCTGCTGCAAAGTGAAATTCATGGAAATAAACCCGACCACCTCCAGGAAAACTGACTTTCCCCGATTTCTTTTCTCTGTCTTTTCATTTTTTCTTTTCCTTTTCCTTTTCTTCTTTTCCTATTAGACAGGCGTGGGAAATTGGCGGGATAGCGGTGCTTAGCTTTTGCAGGAGGATCCCCCCGGTTCCCCGCCGATGGGGGACGCCGGCGGGGGCAGCCCCTGGCCGCCGCTCCCGGCCTTTCCCCGCGCTGTCCCCGCGCATCCCCCGCCCCTGCGGTGCCAGAGCAGCGGCGGGACACTCTGGCTGTAGGTGCGTGCTGAGCCCGGACGGGACTTTTTCCCCCGTTTTTAAAAATTATTTTTTCTTTCCATGGAAGGTGGATTCGAGGCGGTGGGGTCGTCGCTTCCCCCCTCCTTTCTTTTTCTTTTCTTTTTTTTTTTTTCCTTTTTGGCTTTTTCCCTCCCCTTTCCGGGAGGCGACGGGGCGCGGCGCGGCGGTGAGTGCGGGAGCACGCGTGGGCGTGGGAGCAGCGGGGGGCGGGCAGGGAGCGGCGGAGGAGGGGGCCGGGGCCGAGGAGGCAGGCGCGGAGGGCCCTTCCCGAGGAGTTGGGCTGTAGTGACAGGCGAGAGGGGAGGGGAGGGAGGGGAGAGAGTAAAACCCACCGGCGCGGCGGCGGGGAGGGCACTTCGCGAGAGGCGAGGGCCGGCGCCGGAGCGGAGGCGGCGGCGGACAGCGGCGAGCGCCCGGGCGGAGGGCGGGCGGGCGGGCGAGAGGCATCCCGCGCATCCCGCGCATTCCCCGCGCATCCCCGGCTCGCCGGAGCCGCCTCTTCCTCTCGTCCCCGGCGGGGCTCGGGCAGCCGGCTGGGGGGCGAGTGGGAATTTTTTTTTTTTTTTTAATTTTTCGGGGGGTGGGGGCGCGGGGCTCCTGCGGCTTTTCCGGGGGGTTCGGGCCCCCGGCCCCGCGCCCCTGCCCTCCTCCGGCGGCCGGCTGCCGGCGGGCCGGGCCGCGGCGGCGGCGAGCACCATGATGATGTCTCTGAGCAGCAAGCAGCCTTTCGGCCTCCCCCACGGCGGCGGCAGCGGCGGCGGCCTCCACGAAACCAAGTACTCGGCCCTGCACACCGCCTCGCCCTGTCCCTCCGCCGGCGCCGCCGCCCCCGCCGCCAGCTCCCCCAGCAGCACCGGCAGCGGCGGCTCCGCCGGACGCGGCTCCGGCTCCGGCCCCGGCGGCAGCGGCGGCTCCGGCTCCAGCTCGGGCTCCGGCCCCGGCGGCAGCGGCGGCGGCGCGGAGGCGATGCGGCGGGCCTGCCTGCCCGCCCCTCCGGTAGGTGCCCGCCGCCCGCCGCCCCGCTTTAAGGGGAGCCCCTCGGCGGCCCCCCGGATCCGCCTGATGATTTTTTCATGGCCGTGCAGCAAATCACCCGGCGCCGCCGGGCGCTCGCCCAACTTATGCATGCGGCGGCTCTTGCCGCTCGTATTAATTTTTATGACCTGGGATGCTGCGTGCGGCTGGTGCGTGTGTCCGTCCGTCCGTCCGTCCGCCCGCCCGCCGCGGCTCCTCTGTGCGAGCGGCTGCGCGCCGCGCCCGCTCCCTCGCCCCGCTAGCTCCCTCTTCTCCTGTGCTCTCCTCCCCCCCACCACCCCACCCCCCCTCCCTTCTCCAGGATTTCTCTTTTAACATGCTGGGAAGGTTTTAGTGGCACGGCGGAGTGCGCGGGGAGGCGAATTCCCTGCTGAGCGTTATGTGTGCCTTCTATTTGCAATTGCAGAGCAATATATTCGGCGGTCTGGACGAGAGCCTGCTGGCCCGCGCCGAAGCCCTGGCAGCGGTGGACATCGTCTCCCCGAGCAAGAGCCACCACCACCACCCGCCGCACCACAGCCCCTTCAAGCCGGACGCCACGTACCACACCATGAACACCATCCCCTGCACCTCGGCCGCCTCCTCCTCCTCCGTGCCCATCTCCCACCCGTCCGCCCTGTCGGGCACCCACCACCACCATCACCACCACCACCACCACCACCACCAGCCCCACCAGGCGCTGGAGGGGGAACTCTTGGAGCACCTGACGCCGGGGCTGGCGCTGGGGGCCATGGCGGCCCCCGACGGTGCCGTGGTCTCCACGCCGGGCCACGCTCCGCACATGGCCGGCATGAACCCCATGCACCCGGCGGCGCTGGGCATGGCCCACGCCCACGGGCTGCCGGCACACATGGGCTGCATGAGCGACGTGGACGCCGACCCCCGCGACTTGGAGGCCTTCGCCGAGCGCTTCAAGCAGCGCCGCATCAAGCTGGGGGTGACCCAGGCCGACGTGGGCTCGGCGCTGGCCAACCTGAAGATCCCGGGGGTGGGCTCCCTCAGCCAGAGCACCATCTGTCGCTTCGAGTCCCTCACCCTCTCCCACAACAACATGATCGCCCTCAAACCCATCCTGCAGGCGTGGCTGGAGGAGGCCGAGAAGTCCCACCGCGAGAAGCTGGCCAAGCCCGAGCTCTTCAGCGGCGCGGAGAAGAAGCGCAAGCGGACCTCCATCGCCGCCCCCGAGAAGCGCTCGCTGGAGGCCTATTTCGCCCTGCAGCCCCGGCCCTCCTCCGAGAAGATCGCCGCCATCGCCGAGAAGCTGGACCTCAAGAAGAACGTGGTCCGCGTCTGGTTCTGCAACCAGCGCCAGAAGCAGAAGCGCATGAAGTACTCGGCGGGCATCTGAGCCCAGCGGCACCGACAGCGCCAGCGCCGCCGCCGCCCACAGAAAATCCCATCAACAACCAGAACAACAAAAAGGAAAGGAGGAAAACGACCCCAAACGACCCCAGCCCACCCCGCCGCCCGCCCCGCGCCCAACTTTCGGGGGAACTTCCCCGCGGAGCCGCGCCCGGACCCGCCCCGGCAAGTACCGCTGGTTTTTATTCCTAACAGACCTCGCCCGGGTGGCAGCGGGGTGGCCACGATGCCATGGCTTTCTTGGGACCCAAACTTGAATCTAGAGTTGAGGCTTCGCACCGCGAGAGACGTCTAAAAATATTTTGATTTAAATAATAATAATAATAATAATAATGATTAAAAAACAGATGGCAGGTTTTTCTGCATTTACACTGCGTATTATAAATATATAAATATATATATATTTTTACTGTGGTTATTATCCTTTTCCTTCTCTGAAGTTATAACGCTTAGGGAAAGAGCTGATCCTGCTGTGTTCACTGGTCTTCAAAAGCTATTATTAGATTACTGCCAAACAACCCCTTGTAAATTATTAATTTATCTCTCTAGCAACTTCATTTTGTGCTCATTCTAATTAATTACACCTCTTTAATCTAAGTCTTGATAAAAGTAAAAAAAAAATTGTTAGTGAGAATCAAATATTTTGTGTTGGTAGGATTTATGAACGTGAGCTTTTCTTCTTCTGAATGTCCCTTTTGGCCATTTGTAAATTGTCACCTGAACCTAAGGTATTTCTCTGGCGAGTATTCTTATTCGTACGGCGTCGGCACCCTATAGTAGATGTCTTACGTTATTTGTGTAGCCTGATTCACTGTCCGAGGTATTTGTTTACCGCGTTACATATTTAATGGGGATTCCCATATTGTCCCCACCACACGCTGCTCCCGAAGTGAGAAAGGACGTGGCCGCGTAGGTGACAGCGCTGGGGGGTGGGGAGGGTGGGGGGTGGGATTGTCCCTTCGGGTTTCTTGCCAGCACAATATCCGTCTTTCTCGATTTCAAAGGTGTATCGCGACGGTATTCAGACCGGCTCGGTTATTTATTTAATTATCCGATTGCTTATTTATTTATTTATTTGTTTGTTCGGTTATTTATTACCTTTAATTGCAATAGTTTTCCACGGAGGAAAGTCTCTTTTTGGAAGTCTGTTTGTAGAAAAGCCAAATTAAAATTTGTAGGGAAGGGGAGCGAGCGAGCGAGGCTGCACTGCTTGTAAATTCACAACCGATTTGGTACACTTCTTTTTGGAACAACAACAATAAACTGAGGGTACTCGGTTGGGTACCTGTATGTATTGTAAATATTTCATTGGCGTTGACGCACATATAGATATATTCTTACAGATTTCGCTGTATCGCTATTCTATCCGAGACTGTTTGAAGTCTTAAGTTCTGTACATGACGCGATTTCGTTGGTTTTTGTTTGTTTTTTTTTTAAATTTTGTTGTTTTTGTTTTGTTAATAGGAGGTTTATTTATTCTAGTAATGTAATAAGTTATTTTTAAATGTTGTTAAAATCGTCTTTCATTAAAAAAAAAGAAAACAGGATTTTTTACGTTTTATTGGCAAAGCGCGTTTGCTGCTTCTTGTTTTTCCCCCGGCAGCCTCTGCCCGAGCTCCGCGCCGCCTCCGGGCAGGGGCAGCGGCCCCGGGAGCGCCGGGGCAGCACCGGGGACAGCACCGGGGACAGCTCCGGGCCCGTCGTGTGCGCGGGGAGGGGACACGGGGCCCTGGGGTGTCCCCGCTCCCCGAGCTGCTCTGTCCCCCCCGCCCCGGGCAAGGGGGAGCCCCGCAGGCTGAGGCGCGAAAATAACCCCCAAATTTGAAAATGGAAAAGTGATTTCCCCGCGCGGCGCTCACAAAAGCCGGGGAAATAAAATCCCCGACGGCGGCGGGCGAGGGGGGGAGGGAGATCATACACGAGCCGCGATTAAATATTCATATTTCCGCCCAGCCACCAGCTCCAGCTGCAGCTTCAAAGCCGCCCGGGCACGCCGAGGGTGCCGGCGGCTCCGCGGGCGCGGAGGCAGGGCCCGGGGTCCGGCGGGCCCAGGCTCCGTGTCCCGGCCGCTGTCCGCGCTCTCCCGCCGCCCTGCCAGCCCTTGTCGCTGTCGCTGTCGCTGCCGTCGCGGCCCCCGCAGGGTCTCGGCTCAGCCCCGCGGGCCCGTAGGGTGTTTCCCTGCTCCTCCATCCACCGCCGAGGCTCCCAACTTTTTGGGAGGGGGTGGCGCTGTCCCCGACCCCCCCCGCGGGAAGTGTCCCCCTGCCCTGCGGGCCCGGGGCTCCTTCCGAGAGGGGAGGGAGGGCAGCAGGAGCAGGGAGCGGCCGCCAGGGCAGCAGGGTCAGGGCAGCCCGGCTGGGGAGGGCCCCGGAACCCCCAAAGCAGCAGAGCCCCCCCAGACCGAGAGCAGGAGAAGGCGGCGAGCGGCGAGAAGAGCCCCTGCACTGCCGCTGCGCCCTCTTAAATGAGCCATTCACTTAAAGGCTATTACGGGCGAATTAATAAATTACACAGCGAATTATTAAATCCAGATAATTACAAGGAATAAGTAAGTAATCATTAGTTATCTCAGCTAATTACTGTGGGTCAGAGCGAGCGAGAATGTGAAATCCTCCTCGGGAATTGAAATTAACTTTGCACTGTGAGTCTCTCTGCTTGACATCCCCAGTCTGTAGGCACATGGCAGCTCCCCTGTGAGCTCGGCTTTCTATTTAACTTGGAGAGAATGGAAATAAAATTAAGTGGCGATGTGATAATAGGAAGCTGCTTAGAAAGCAAACGCGGTGGGTTTTATTTTTTACCTTTTACTGCCTGGAGATAGATCGTTCTCTAGTTTGCCAAATTAAAAACCCGGGGCAATTAGCCGACTTCTCCCGGTACCTGCCGGTGCCGCACTCGCAGATGATTAACAAACGAAAAGGCAGGGAAGAGCCGGGGGGCTGAAGGGTGTGTGGGGGTGCAGAGGTGCCCGGGATCCGGGAGAACCGGGCCGGGTGCCAGGGCAGCCCCTCCGCTGCCCGGGCCGAGCAGGGCTGAGGCACCAGCGTGCTTTGTTTTGGGAGACAATAAGCTGACGAGCTCTAATGAGGGTCCTCGTCTCTTCCGTTGATCTTTCGCCAGATCCTCCAGGAGCCCCCCCTCTCCCCCAACACCCATCTACGGCATCACTTCCCGGCTTTCCTTCACGTGCATCTTTTGTAAACAGCAGATCCATAGGCGGAGATGCTCGCGCTGCTCTCGCCGGGCTTTGCCCGCATTAAAGCAACAACAACAACAACAACAACAACAACAACAACAACAACTGCTGTGCGTGCACGGCGAGGAAAAATATCTCGGCTTCTTTGCCTTTATCAATTGCAATTAGGTGGACAATCTTCCCCCTCTTTCCTTGCTCCAGTCTGGGATGATAATTAAAATTTAATGAAGCCTGGGAGTAGCAGAGCTCTGTCTGGGGACTGTGGAATAGAATATTTTAACTGTACATTTACACCAAGTGTCTGGCTTCAAAGACGTGACTGCTTTTAATCTCGAATTAGAAAACCACAGACCTGAAATTAAATATTAGCCACCCTCGGTTCCCCTTCCTTCCCGCCACACGGTCACGCCTGCGTTCGCCTGCCTTGCCCCACGACACGCACACATCCCCGTCTCGGGTCTCCAATTACCCTCGCTTTAATAATAAATGGCTTTGCCGGGGTGCGGGTTTTCCCCTTTCTTTTCCTTTCCTTTTTTTTTTTTTTTTTAATAGGGTTAATGCAATATTAATTGCTCGTAGCTGCTATAAGAATGCGCCGCGTTTTTCCAGGAACAAATCGATGGATCGGGGCGGCGAGCGCGGAGCAGGAGGCGCAGCCCTGGGGCCGCCCGGGTGAGTACGGCCTCCAGCGGGGCCCTCCGCGCCCGCGCAACTCCCGCGCCCCTTCCCGCCCCGGCCCGCCGCTCGCTGCCCCGCTGAGGATCGGGGCGAGACCTCCTTCTGCCTCCCCAAATGCTCTCCCGGGGGAAACCCCAGCAGTGCCCGCTCCTGGGACAGCCCGGCCGGTTTGTGATCCCGGCGCGGTGACCGGGGTGAGGAGGATGGGGGGTCAGCGTTCTCCTCCCTCTCTCCCTCCTTTATGGTTTGTTGTTATTTTGGCAGGTGAGACCCCCGAGCCCTCCCGGAGGAGGGGAACCTGCCCCGTGGCTGCGGCTCAGCGCGCCCCGCAAAGGTAAAGGAGGGGCTTGGAGGAAAGACGAGGACACCCCGCAAGCCAGCGGGGCGGCGGGTGGGAGATAGAAAAAGAATCACAGCCCACCTGGCAAAAAAATTCCCCAGGAAAATCCCCCAGACAGCCGGGACCCCCTTCCCAGGGCGGGGGAAATTCCTGACCTGCTGACACGGCTCCTCCGTGCGGGAGCATCCCGGGGGCCGGGCAGGGCCGGGGTGGGCGGGCAGGAGCCGCGGCCGCTGCGCGGGGCCGGTCACGCCTTCCCTGGCCCAGGGCCGGGCCCTCAGCTGGCACTTGTTGACAAAAACAAGAAAAAAAAATTAAGAGCAAGAAACAGAAAAGAAACCAACCAAAACCTTGTCCCCAAAGTGGCCACGACCCTCGAACGAAAACAACGAAGAGAAAGCAGAGGCGGTGGCAGCGCTCTGGGCGGCAGCTGGGACACCCCGGGAGCGTGTGTGTGCGCGGGACCCCCCCGTAGCGTGTGTGTGTGCGGGACGCGGCTCCGCGGATGGGCCCCCGCCCCTGCCCTCTCTCCGCGGGGCGCAGCGCTGCCCGGCCGGGCTGCTCCGGACCCCCGCGGGCGCTGGGCGCTGACTCGCGCAGCGGCACAGCCGCGCTCTGAACCCGCCACCAGCCCCAGTGGGACGAGCTTCGGCCTCCTCCTCCTCCTCCCCCCGCCCCGGGCGGCCCTGGGGCAGGCGGAGCTGTGCGCGAAGCCCCGCGGAGTTTGCGCGGCGGTGGGGCCAGGGCTGCGCGCCCCGTCGGGCTGCGGCACGGCTCGGCACGGCACGGCTCGGCGGCGCGGCGGGGCTGGGCTGGCCTCCCCGTTTATACAGAACAGGATCATTTACATAAAGTCCTTAAGGCAAATAACTGTTGGGGCTCTAATTTATATCTGATCGAAAATTAGCCGTCATTATGCGCTCCATTAGCAGCGTCTTTAATGTGCTTCTAAGCACCATTTGTCAAGCGGCTTGTTAATATCCTTCAAGTCTTTAAAGTTGAGAGCTCATTAAAGAGTGCGCTCTGTTATTGATGTAATTTAGATGAGTTTGGAGGAGCGAGTGCGCCGCGGACAACCTGGATGAGCGGGGAGAGGCTGGGGCTGCCCCCGGGGCCGGGCGAGCAGCACCCCGGGCGCGGTGGCCCCTCACGGTCACCCTGGGCACGGCGGCCCCTCGCGGTCGTCCCTCACGGTGGCGTCGCGCCTGGCCCGGGCCCGCTCTGTGGCGGGGCCGGGGGAGCCTCTGTGGGCCGAGCACCCCGGGCTCGGTGGCCCCTCACGGTCACCCCGGGCTCGGTGGCCCCTCACGGTCACCCCGGGCACGGTGGCCCCTCATGGTCGCCCCTCACGGCGGCGCCGGGCCCGGGCCGGGCCTGCTCCGCGGCGGGGTCGGGGGAGCCTCTGTGGGCCGAGGCGGAGTAAACCCGGTTAATGATGTGCAGACGTGACTCCGCCGCCTCTCCCCCACTCCATCGGAAGAGCATAAAGGCCAATAAATTACCTCCGCTGCTTATCTGAAAATCCATCTATCCTGTCGCCTTTTTTTATTTTTTTCCCCCTCCGCTGGAGGAGGTCGCGTTTGTGCAACACGCTGAGGCCGCCCCTCGAGGGCGAGCTGTAGGGCAGCGCCCTCCGGCTCCCCCGGGGGGCCTGGCTCGGCCCCACGCCGCCCCAAATCCTGCCGGAGCCAGGTGCTTGTGGAGGCAAGCCCGGCTGAGCTCCGTGTCCCCCTCCCCCGGGCAGTGCGGGGGCTGGAGAGGAGGGTCCTCCCCTGCGCCGCCATCCCCGGGCTTCCCCCGGGCAAAAGCAATAAAGCGGGTAATTAGAGTGCTAAAGACGGATGTAAATAACGGGGAGGAGGCGGCGGTGACAGGCGTGCGACGCGGCCGCTGCCCCCGGGCATGAGGGAAGGAGCCCCGCGGTGCCCGCCCCGAGGCTCCGTGCGGGGGCCGCGCTGTCCCCGCGGCCGGAGGGCACCGGCGATTCGGGAGGGACTCCCCGCCCATCAGAGAGCCCCCCTGGCCCCCGGAGCCCCCAGAGCGTGCAGGGCAGAGGGGCTGCGGTGGGGAGACGGCTGCAGCCTTTCAAACCCCGCTGCAGCCCCCGGCAGGGCTCCGAGTGGCCTTTCACACAGGCTTCTGTCAAAGGGGCGTCTCCTTCACCCCGCGGTCCCAGGGACACACGGACGCCCCAGGTATTTCTCCTAAAGTGTGATGTGTAAACAGCCACATGTGTGATCAGCCCTGCTCAGCTTTGGGACTGTGAGCCCAGGGGTGCTCCACATCAGAGCAGGGTGGAGAGCATCCAGCCCTGGCCCTCACATGTCAGACGGCTGCTCCTGACTAGCTGGGCACATCTCCTGCACTTTGCATGCTCCAGCATGGAGTGTCCTAGTCCTAGAGCCTGGAGATGACTTGTCCTAGAGCCGGAGATGACCTGTCCTAGAGCCACCACTTCTATATTGGTCCCCAAAGCTCTCTGGGCAGAGGAAGAGAAAAATACCCTCAAGGCAGTGAGGGAAAACACCACCGTGGGTGGGCAAGAGATGAGGCACAAAGAGCCACCAGGTGGCCCGAGGGTGACATGATGAGTGGTCCTTGCAGATGTGTCCTTAGTGATTGTCACCAGGAGCACACAGGAGCTGTAGCACAGTGGCACAGGGCCCTGAGCTGGCTGGCCTCTGTTTGCTGTGTCTCTCTGCGTGTGGCACTTGGGGACAGAGTCCCCTCAGGGTGTGTGTGGGCACACGGGGGTGGCCTGCTGGATTTGAGGAAGGCTCACAGCGTGACAGGAAGCCCTTCCTTAGCCATCTTTTCACTCCCTCATAACTTTTCTGTTGCCGGTGCCACCACATTATTTTGGAGAGAATACCATGGAGGTAGGCAGGATAAACTTTGAGAATCCACATTTTTTTAGGGAGGACAATTACAGGGAGATAGCTTCGTCTGCATTGAACAAAGCCATTCCAAACCAGGATGTCAAACACAGACTTGCCCACACCCAATGGGGAAGGAAACCCATGGAAGAGTCTCATGGTATGACCACGCCAACATTTTATAGCAGCAGTGGCTGCAGCTTTTACAAAAGTAAAAAGCAGTTCAGTATCTTGCCATAATTTGTGGGCAGAACTTGTGGATGTGCAGCAGCAAATGAACCATGTCCTGTTCTCACCCTGGACACCCTTGTGGGAGGGCTTCTGGCAGTGACACGTGTGGCAATGTCTGCTGGGCAGCAGCAGCAGCGAGGTCCCTGGGCCAAAGAAGGGTGTGATGAGCAGGGCTTGTGCAAACCTTGGCATAATAAAAGCCTCCACCCCACAAACATACAGACACAGCAGATGTTAGGTAAAAAAAAGCAAAAGGTGTCACCTTTTGTAATAGTTTTTACATCCTGAGTTGCAAAACTTCTTTCCTGATTGCTCTTCCTTTTAGAAATACAGATTCTTTAAGAATAGAGTTTTAAAATGCGGCATCTGTAAGAATGACTGTGAATTTGGTGTTTGACACTAACCCTCCCAAATTTCCACTACAAAATTGTCACTGCCCTCCCGGTGAAGCCGAGGGCATGGGAACCTTGGAGGCCTCCCAATTCAGCCCCTCTGGAGGCTGGGATGGCAGCAGAGCTCAGCACCTCCTGGCTGTGCCTGCCCCAGGGAATGAAGCAGGGCAGGGCACCACAGACAGCTCTGTGCTGGCTGGAGCCGATGAGCACCTGCCCAAGCAGTGCCTGGCACGGGCTGGGCACAGGGTCTGCCCCAAGCAGGCTGCTTAGTGTGCCCACACTGTTTTGGGGAGGCAGGGGAATAGAGGAAGGGAGTCAGCTGTCACACAGAGCTGCTTGGCCCCAGGCTGGAGCACAGCTCCCAGCTGGTTCTGCAGAGTGGCAGGGATGCAGCCACCAGAGACCACCCACCACTCACCTAAAGCTTTCTCTCTTCTGTAAAGCCTTTTTCTTCCCTGCTGGGGAGGTCAGGCTGTGTTTGGCCTGGATATGAAGACCAGAGCTGCTTCCCCCACCAAGCTGAGCTGCTTTGTCTCCCTGCCCCAGGCATTAGCACTTCCAACTCGTGGAATAGTCTGGATTAGAGCCAGACAGCTGCTGGGCTCTTGCCCCCATGCAGATTTGCCAGGCAATGGCACCAGGACTCAGTGAGGTCCTGAGCTCTCCAAGGACCCTACTGCCTGTCCTTTGGATGATCCCAGAGCAGCCCTGCATCCCAGTGGCCCCACACGTGTGCAGGTGAACAGGGACAGGTCAGGCATGGGATGGGGCCACAGGGCTGCTCTCCCAGGCAGCTCATGGGGATGGAGCAGGAGGCAGCCTGGGAAGGTGGGGAGAGGGTTTTCCTTCTTTCAGACAGCTGTTAAAATGTTTTCATTTAATCAGCCACAGCACGCACGGCTCAGTAAAACAGCTGGCACCCGGGCTGATGCACGGGGATGTGTAATTTTGATTCCTACCTTTCTGTTTCAAAGCTGTGTCGTTTTCAGCACTTTGATCCAGAGACTAAACTTATTGTGGCATATTTATGTATATGACATTTTCGTTCGCTCCTTTATTTATTTATTTCTGCAAAACACAGCACTGACAAGGTTTCTAGTGCCGAGGCAGAGATGCTCTCTGAAGGAAAACACACAGTCCAAATTCCAGCATGTGCTCCAAGAGTCCTGTTTTATACATGTCACAGGCTCCAATGGTAGGAGCAGTGGCAAAGTGTGGAAGAGCTCATGCAGGAAAAGGAAAAACCAGGCTGGGGATGAGTGACAGTGTATTTAATGCCGCATTCCAATGGATTGTGTTTTAGTTTTATAAGGATGCATTTTTCTAGAGTTTTATAATTCTTTCAGGGTCGTTATAGCAACTCAGTGCTTTTATCCCTCCCTGATAGTGGCATACTGATCCTCACAACATTCCCAGGAAGTAGGGATGTGCTGCTATCCAACCTTACAGCAGAGGAATACAGAGAAGTTCAGGATGGGTGAGGAAATGGAAAGAGATTTCCGAAGTCCTAAGAGAGCTCTTAGGACCAACCCTGCCCCATCTGACACTTCCAAATCACTGAACAAGTACTTCCCTTCAATCTCTCACTCCCAGGACATTAGCAGTATGAGATACCCCATGAAATACCCATTTCCCCAAGAGCACAGCAGTTTTTTTAAACCTCAGCCTCAGGTGTACTCCAGAGGGGAGGTGAAAGCAGACTTCCCTGAATTTGGGCCTTTATGTTGGGTTCTCTGGTGTCAAATAAGGCACAAACTCTGGCTGACATCAGAGGATGGAGCATTAATAAATCCTCTTGCCTGGGGATTTCAATACATGTGATTTTCTGCCTTTTCCCTTGTGTGGGACACACATGGGGTCTGTCATCTCTGTTGTCCACTCCGCTGCACAAAACCTGTGGGGATACATCCACAGCTAAACCACTTCCCCGTCTGTTCCATTGGCCTGAAGGGGCTTAAAACACTTTAAAAACTGGTTTGAGGCTGGGGAGGTAAAAAGAGAGGCACAAACAGACAAGGACAGTCATGTGGAGTATGGTTCCCCCAGGAAGGGAAGGGGGAACCAGGAAGCCAGGTCCCATCCATGACTGAGCCACCTGAGGAAGAGATGCTGCTCGTGTGGATATTTCAGCACTTTGGGCACCTCCTTCACCCTTTCCTGCCTCCCAGACAGCTTCTGTTCCAACAATCCTCATCCTCCCAGTGCAGCAGCAGCCTGAATTCAGCTCTCATGGCTGAGGCTGGCATTTATTACGTGGGTCCTCCTGTCCTTGGACACATGTGAGCACAAACAGCCCTGTTACCCACATGGAAGCAGGACAACTTGTTTCTGTAGAAACATTTTAAACATCCTCAACAACAGTTTCAGAAGGTCTTGGGCTTCACATTAAGAGAGCCCTGAGATGTTAAAAATTTAACTGAGAAAACCCAAAAAGGTTAAATTAAAAAAAAAAAAATTACTCCTTGAAAAGCAACAGAGGAATTGCTGGGGCTGTTAATTTCTCAACTTGGAAAAGACTCTTTGACTCATACACCTCCAAACTGAATCCCTGGGCAGTGCTGACACCAGCTCTCCCTTCACCCCTCCAGATCACCTCCCTTCTTTGCCCTATGGGTGTTTGTGAGCCAAGTCTTCTTCTTTCCTTCTTGCCCAGAGGAAATCACCAGGTGGCTGGGCTGCTTCCTTGGGTTTTGTGTCAGATCTCAGTGAGATCTCATCCATGTGCATATTTTTAGGCATGACAATCTTTAAACTACCCCTGACTGAATAGAGAAAAATCAGAAGCTTTTCTCACATAATGGTACCTTATATCCAAAGAAGAAAAACCACCTGCAATCACAGGAGAAATATAACACTGAATGTAGTTCATTTTCAGTCCAGGCTTTCTAGGAAGAAGATGTTGTTCCACCTTTCCTCTCACTTCAAAATTGCCTGCCTTGCCTTGATCTGGGAAAGCGCTGTGCTCAGATTACGGGCAAATACGATAAACCAACATCTCAGAACACGTGTAGTTCTTTATTTTGAGGTACCTGTAGGCACTTTTGGCTGGCATTTCATCATTCCTCAGTCTTCTTTCTACCGAGGCAGAATCACTCAGATACTGTAAAACAACATTGCTTGCTACCTTACACCTTAGGCAGTGAGCTGTAACTAAGATGCACACGTGCAACCTGGTATTTTTTCTGCCAAACACCTCTGCAAAGCCAGCTGCACGACAGTGTCACATACATAAGTCATTGTATTGCCCTGCTGACACCCCCTGGTTAGAAGTACCCCGCTTTTCTGAAGCTGAAAATCCTCCTGGAGTAAAAAACTGCCAGAAGAATAAAAATTGCAATTACAAATCTTAATACGCAGTATTTATGTGTTCATTTCAATATTACATTTCTGTGGCAAGTTTTCTCATTGTGTGTCGTTCAGTCATGTTGGGACAATTTGTTAAATAATGTAGAGGCACTTCATCATAGAACAACATCTGAGGTGATTTACAGTTCCATCCTTTAGCAGCACACCTGTAAATTGCTATAAATAATGCTAAGCCCTATTAAGGAGACATCAGGGTGCTTCCAGACAGAGGGAATTAATGGGGAAGCAGTTGTGGATGATCCTGGGTAAAAGCACTGCCACTTGGGGTTGGTCTGATACACAGGACTGCAGAGTCCACAGCCAGGCCTGAAGGAGAACTTGTGGGAGGTCCAACCA